TGATAGTTGATCCAAGATGAAGAATGGTATTACAGAATTTGCTAAGTGATTTTCTTTCATTCTTATTTTTAGCAATATAAACTCTTGATGCAATATCAAACTTCTTAATATTAATAAAATGAGCTGAACATGCTCTTAAAAGTGAGCTTTCTAGGACAATGAGCTAAATGCAAATGTCTAGTTACTGCTATCCTCTTACTTTCTTTATTCTTTCTTGCAGAATGTGCCTCTGTCTCTACCTATCTATCTGTCAGATGGATGCATGGATAGATCTGCCTATCCATGCATCGATCTATCCACTTGTGTATTTAACCAACATTGCTTATTGCTGATTGCCAATCTTCTTAAAAAAACAACAACAACAACAAAAAAAAACAGGGTCCACTTTATTGTGTGACTTCTTTACTGTGACATTTTCAATGCATAGGGCGGTGTCATGCAATAGTATATACACATTAACCATACTTCAAGTGAATAAATGCAGCTAGAATTCCCTACTAGTAATAATAGAAGTATTGGTATGATGCTGTAGGATAACTGCTAGACTGTAAAGTCAGTTTGAACCACAAGGTCAACAGTTCGAAATCATTAACTGCTCCTTGGAAACACTACATAGCTTTCACTATGAGTTGGAAACAACATGATGCCACTTAACAACAACAATAATGACTTACTTGGGGCGGACTTTCCAAAAATCCCAAATCCAAACATGCTAGCCTTGGAAAAGGCAATCTAAAATGATTATTGGAGTCCTTTTTGATAATGGTCATTTGAAAGAAAGGTTGCAACATTCTCTTATATTAGTGTGATTACATTTGGGAAATTTACAAACTGTGTATGTGAACCTTAGGTTGTTTCTATATAAACTGACAGAATATTCTTTTTCTCCCTAATCCAATTTTTTTTTATCTTTTACTTTTTCCTCCATAGAGTGATGATCATTGACCAATGCAATTTCTCTATCATGAAACAAGGATTTAAACATATTCTTTATTAAGGCAACAAAATGAAATGACATATTTTTTACGTTGTTTTGTTTTCTTTACAAAGACTTTTTCTTTTTATAAATTACTTAAATAAATATGCTTATTGTGTTGCTGTCAGGTACCCAGTTGATTTGGACACAACAGAAAGAAACACTGCCCGAGCCTGCACCATCCTCACCATCCTTGCTAGGCTTGAACCTGTTGCTGTTGTCTTTGCGCCAATCCATCCGCTGGGCGTCTTCCTGTTTTATACTGACCTCCACTTTACCAAGCATGATGTCCTTATCCAGGAATTGATCCCTCCTGACAATATGTCCAATGTAAGAAAGACAAAGTCTCATCACCCTGGCTTCTAAGCAACATTCTGGCTGTACTTCCTCCAACACAGATTTTTTTGTCCTTCAGGTAGCCCATTTACTTTTAATATTCTTCTCCAACAGCATAACTCGAATGCATCAATTCTTCTATACTCTTCCTTTTTCGTTGTCCAACTTTCATATGCATGTAATGCTTTTGCAGACTCCACGGCTTGGGCCAGATGCACTTTAATACTCAAACTGATGTCTATGCTTTGGAACACTGTAATGAGGTCTTGTGCAGCAGATTTGCCTACTGCAATATGTCATTTGATTTCTTGACTGCTGCTTCCATGAGTGTTGATGGTGGATCCAAGCAATATGAAGTCTTTGACAACATCAATCTTTTCTCCATTTATCATGTTGTTATTTATTGGTCCATTGGTGAGGCTTTCTGTTTTGTTTACTTACATTGAAGTGCAACCCAAGCTGAAAACTGTGGTCTTTGATCTTCATTAGTAAGTATATTAAGTCCACTTCACTTTCAACAAGCAAGGTGGTATCATCTGCATATCACAGGTTGTTAATGAGTCTTCCTCCATTCCTGATACCAGGTTCTTTTTCATATAAGCCAGCTTCTCAGATTATTTGCTCAGTATTCAGATTGAGTAAATAAAGTGAAAGAATACAAACCTAGAACACACCTTTCCTGATTTTAAATAATTCAGAATCCCCTTGTTCTGTTTGAATGACTGTTTTTTTTTTTGTTGTTGTTGTTTTTTTTTTTTATACAGGTTCTTCATCAGCACAATTAAGTGTATCCATTCTTAGCATTGTTATCTATAGCTTATCAAGATCCACAGAACTGAACTTTTGCATAGACAATATAGCACACATAAACATCTTTCAGGTAGTCTATGCTTTCAGCCAAGATTCATCTGAAATAAGCAATGATACCCCTTATTCCATGTCCTTGTTTGATCCAGCTTGACCCTTTGGCAGTTTCCTGTTAATGCATTGTTGCAGTTGTGTTTGAATTATCTTCAGCAAAGTTATACTTGCATGTGATATTAATGATATTGTCTAATGATCTGCATTTTGTTAGGTTACCTCTGTTTCAAATGGACACAAATATAGATCTCTTCCAATCAGTTGGCCAGGTAGCTGTAGCTGTCTTCCAAATTGCTTGGCATTGGGTGCCTCTGGTGCTATATCAGCAGTTTAAAAAAAAAATGTTTTATTGTGTATTATGGGATAGTTTACAAGGGAGAACATTAGCTTTATATTGTCATGGTTACAATTCCCTCCATGCATCATCAACCAACCAAAAAGTATACCCGGCAAGCCTGCCCCTCCGCCCCCGGGTCGTCAGTACACATCCCCTCTCCCTCTCTGGGTCTAGAGTCCCCAGCAGTTCCATCTCTCCATGTCATCATCTCTGCCTCCATCACCGGTGTCACTGCTTCTCTGGGTAGGGCCCTGTACTCTGATCTTCTCAATTGATGGTCCCAGGGGTCTCTGCTCCTAGACTGCAAAGTCAATCACTCTCCTCCTTTTGCTGCACAATGTCTACCTTTACATTCCCAATCCTCACAGTCAGTCCTGATAGCAGTCATTCACTAATGTACCTATCTCCTTTCATCAGCCCCGCCCATACAGATTGGGTACTACTCAGTGGAGATTCTTCCTCCATGCCGTATGGATTCTGACTCCCTCTTGAAAGCTTGTAAGTCAGTCATTTCTTGCCTTTGTAGTCCCCGCCCCCGTTTTGGGTAGCCAATATCCAAGCTGCCAATCCCTGTCTACCCTGTGTAGCGAGGGGGTGGGAATGATTCTTGCTGTAAAGATTTATTCC